TTTGCCTAAGTGTGTCTGTACATGCATACTTTAATTTGTGTTACCACATCTACTTAAAGAGTGTAGAACACCTTTTGTAATAATTTGGAATATGTTTGGTTGCCACTAGAGGGTAGAGAGTGAGCTAATGACATCCAAGTCAGAGGAAACTGGTCTTGCAGGCTGGCCTACTCTGTCCTGCCAAGCAAGAACTCATTTTACAACCTTTTCTTCACCTCTCTAAGGAAAATAAGTTGCAATTTCAATACAACCAGCCCAGTGTTCGATGTTACCTTAGAGATCAATTTGAATCTGTAAGGATAAAAGCTTAGCTGCTTTGAAGTTGGTGGCAAAACTCTGCCTTGTTTAGAGTGGAATCAAGAGTTTGCTGTGAATAAGATCAAGCAGTGTGTTTAAGCTGTACATAAACCATGGAATGGCCCTGGAATGCACACGGTTATTCTCAGGAAAAAAAGTGCTTGCTGCATTTGCAGTGATTCGTTACTTCAGATTGTCTTTTAGCAATGGATGATTTCTTTATCACTTTTGATTCAAATGGAGGTTGCCACCGTCCATTTTCACTGTGGATTATGTTCTCCCTTGCTTTGCTGACTGCAGAGCCAAATCCTAATCCAAAGAACCGTCTTAACATTACAAGGAAAACAGCAGGAGGAATGTTCTTGAGTTGCTTAATGACAACAGAGTAACTAGACAGCAAGCTTTGGAGTCACTGTAGGTAGTTGGTTGTGTGTGGTTTTGTTGTTCTAGGATGTATCTCCCCCCAGAATTCGCGCTGTCATTTTGACATGGCATAATTATTGCTCTTTATAAGCCTGGACTGTTTAATAGTGGCTGTGGGTTTCTTGTTCTCACTGCAGTCATTTAGCCTGCGATGAAGAGAGAGTGGAGGAGGCAAAGCTGCTGGTGTCTCATGGTGCAAGCATTCACATTGAGAATAAAGAAGAGCTGACCCCACTGAAAGTGGCAAAGGGTGGCCTGGGAGCCATACTTAAAAGGATGGTGGAGGGCTAGTGGGAGCTTCCCACTTGAGCCTCTTTCCTGTTGCACTTATATTTAAGACTGCAAACTTCATAGTTTGATATTTCAACCAGGATGTTGTGTGTGGGTATCAGCATGGTAATAAAATGTTTTTATTGAAGCTGTCCTTCAAGTGCAGTGCCAAAACAACTGTTTGTACTTCCTGTTAATTGAATAGTTCACTGATTTTAAAGTATTTTTCAATATTTTGCAGTTTTCTTTCAGTTTACAGTACGATCTGTATAAATGTGGTCATTCTTTGTATGTCAGATCTTAGTTTAGAATTATTTCTTTCTAGCAACAGGACCAAAAATGCTTTACCAATTTAAAGCCGATTTCATTTTGGAAGCTTGTCCTAGAGTCTTTGTTTCTTCCCTTAGCCTTTGTGATTTGTATGTGGGATTGTATTTAGTTTTTGTGGGTACAAATTGTCTTTCTTCAGATGATTCTAAACTACACCTTATCTCCCTTTGTAGACTGCAGTTTGCTCAGTCGCTTGGATAAATGTATCCATTTTTGTTACTCTTGATCTATTCAAGTGAGATCTGAGTGTTTAAAGATTTTTTTGTTGTTACTGGTTGTTCTTCTGTTTCTCTGAATCTTTAAATACATGTATTTGATGAAGTGCAGTGGATTGCTTGCAGAATGCAGCAGCAGTTTCAGGGTTACCTCTGCAAATATAATGTTTTATAATGGATGGCTCTGGATAATTCTCTGGGATATACTTCAAATGTAATGTTTTTTCCTCTTGCTCCTTTTGTAGGTTCCTTTTTCTGTTCTCTTTGACTCCCATATGCAGCACTGACACTTGCAGTTTACCATCTTGTTTTATAACAGAAGCCTGGTTTTCTCTCTACTTACTCATAGCAAATCCTGATATTAAGTTATTAGAAGGCAAAGCTAATGAGACAGAGTCTGAAAAGTGACCTGTTCTGATGTTGGTAAGATCACTTTTGGCACCAGTGGATAGATTTCCCCTTGAACAAATGATGCCGATAAAATTCTGTGAAATAAAGAACTTTCCTAAACAACAGTCTTTGGTATCATAAAACTTTACTGAACCTGTATGTAACAAAACCAATGTTTTCTAAATAGCTTGTATGCTTGGGATGTGAACATCAGATGAGATGAAACTCTGCCATCCATTCCACAGTGTGGGAATGCAACATGTCTGATCTTCAGCCTCAAGGAAAGATTGAAATGCAAGCTGGCAGTTTCTACAGTTTGACTTGTAGGGATTAAGGTAATGTTTATTTTGATAAACAAGACAGAAACAACCAAACAAATATCTTCACCATTGATTTTAAATGTATCTTAGAACACAAAATGCAGGTGAAAGTTCACATTGAGAGCAGGAGGGATAACTTGCCTGTACAGTAAGCTCTGGCCATGCAGATCTTGATTGAAGGAGGAATGTGACTGAGTAAATGTTTCTTGGGTGTTGCACAGGCACTGCTGAAAATTTGATTTGAGAACAGCTGAAGTTAAGAGTTCTGTGTTCATCCTTGATCTTTGTGTAGCAAAAAAACCCTGCCACAGCTCTGTAGCTTTGTAAATACACTTCCCTAGGAGATGGTAGCTTGAATTTTGGCTGAGTATCTGGTTTCCATGTTAATGATCCCTACTCCCACAGGAGCAGATAAATGGGCCATGCAGCAAAGACTGTTGGAACATCTAAGGCAAATTCTGAAAAATGTTTCTGTATCCTGCGTGGCTCTGCAGGGTTTTAGAGTTACACACTGTGGATCAATACCTAATTTGCATTGTGCTTTGCCCAGAGCATCAGCAGAAATCTAGGAACAGTGCCCCATCCTTTTTAATAAACTTTTACAGACTTTATAATGAGAACAAACATCTGCCAGAAGGCTTACAGAAACATCTCAATGTGTTAAGAAACTCTGAATAAATGTTATTTTCCTTACCTTCCTGCTCCTCCCCAGCAACCTGTTTTGTTTCTTATTTTTGCCTTTTTATTTTTAATACTATCTATTACACACTGATGGGTGGAAGTATGAGAGGAATCATTAGTCAAGAACTTGTGTTGAATTGTTCTTTTGTTTTATTTAAAAACATTAACGAAACTTGAGCAGTTTCTACTTTTTGAACAAATATAAAACCTGTGACGTTCTAGGAAGATTGTATTAGCTATAGAAGGTAATTATAACTTAACCCACATAAGCTCCTATCTTACTGCAGCAAGTTGTGTAAGGCATACCTTCAGATAAATTTGTGTAGGTGAGATTAAGGAAAGATTGGAAAAAAATGTGGTAATGATCACATAACATAGTCCCCTTTTCAATCACAATAGTGCTGTTGCAGAGATGTGGAAGTTGGAAAGGTGTTGCAGTAAGAAAAATGTGGCTAAGATGCATATATACAGAAGAAAGCTTTAGAAGAACTGATACAGCTATAGTGGTAACATGAAGACAGTTGTTTATAGTTTCCCATGAAGGGTAAAAGAAAACTTAGGAATATCAGATAAGAAATTATTTTAAATTATTGCTGCTGTCAGCCAAGTCAAGGGCTCCCTCAGACTAATAATTGATTTGAAACAAATACGGGGAAACACCTTTGGTAAGAAATAGCACCCAAACAGGAGTAGGTATTCTCCCTCTTGCTGTTTCTGAGCGTGTTTAATGTCATCATTCTGCATGTTGACACAACTTTGGGTGTCAATATCAGACTTTCTCAGTAAGCTGCTCAACCCAGCTTGAAGGACATGAGTTACGGATTTTGCTTGGCACAGTTGCCACAAAAATCAACAAGAGCTGCCTGATTAAGGAGATCATGACTTAAGGTTTACCCTGGATATTTAGGGAAGAGAAGAATGTGAGGATCCACCAGTAAAATATGGCAGTGTTGGTATTAGCAAGGGTTTGACCCTCACAGTCTGGCACAAGCAGTTTTTAGTTAAAATTGTATAAGAACACCGTAAGTGTCCTTTTACTCTGGAATGAAGCTAAACACTACAACACACATAACAAAGATAAATATTTGAAAGCCAGAAGACTGTGTTGGAAAGGACAATGAATACAGTTATGCTTGAAGATCCCAAATGACTCTTAACTAGGACTTCATGCTTTACATCTTCTTTAAATGTTGCCACGTTTTTTCTATTTTTTTCCCCCTTTTTTTTTCCTTTTTTCTTCTTTTTTGGTTTTTTTTGGGTTTTGGGGGTTTTTTTTGGTGCTCACTTTTTTGATAAACATATTTCGAGCTGTAGGAACTGAACCTGAAAATGTTAGCCCAGAAATTTTAAAGATGAATGTTGCATATGTCTAATGTTTACAGGCTAGGAACAGTCACCAAGGGATTTATGCATGTTAGGTCCTATAAAGGATTTAAGTGCCAAAAAGTTCGAGATCCCTGAGCCAGATACATTTTTGTGCAGTGCATGAGACTGAAGCCAGTGTTTCCCTGAGTCAGCGAGGACCTGCCTTGTGTAGTTCCAAACAGAGCTACTGAGGCTGTGGGTCTGTATTCACCTGAGCCCCACGGTCCCTGAGCTCTTCTGAAAGTAGGTCTCTTTGGAAAAAGCTTTTTGAAAAACTGAGCTTGTGTAACCTCAGAAACGAGGCCCAGAGAGAAGAGGTGTCTAGTGATCAACGTGTGTGTGGTTCAGTTCCTTTTTCTCCTTCCAACCACTCAAGAGAGTGGTCATTACTCGACTGTTGGCTATCGGTGTGCTTTGCACTATTTACCTTTCCTCTTGATGCTTTCACCTATAGAAAACAGGCTGTTACACTGGGCTAAAGAACCAGAGGAAAAGTAGCATGAGTTTGTTGCTCAGTAGGTAGAACAGGTGCCTGGAAATAGATTAAAATCATCTCAGGCAGAAGAAGCAATCAAAACTCGTGTGCTGTATAGTAGAGAGTATTCTAAGTTTTGAAAGCAGCTGTATTGCATGTCATGAGGAATCTGATGTTGTGCCTGCCTATTGGAACAAGCCTTGCAAGGGGTTTAGATTTCCAGCTCCTGTTCTGTGGAAAACAGTCATTTGATGTCTGAATTGGGTACCTGAATGCCAGTTCTATTAAACTGAAGACCGGAACTGCTGAGACACACAACTCTGGAATGCTGGTGCCTTGGGAACTTTGAGCCAAGAATGTCACTGTTAACAAAATGTATTCCATGTCAGGCAGCAACAGGGTAAAAGTGTCCAGGATCATTTGTTTGGGGTTTTTTTCAATTTAAGTAGAATTCAGACACACAAGATTTCATTGGCCCAGGTCTCAACATCTGTTTCTACAATCTGATGACACTGATGTAACTTCTTTTTACTTCTGACATACAGAATCAGTTCCTTTAAACACTGCAATGTACTGACCATGAGGATTGTTCTTGGTACACAGGGAATAAGTTGGCCAACACTGTTTCTGGAGAAGACTGCTGTGGTTCAGAACTGTGTGGATACACACAGCATGACTGATAGTTGACTGGAAAGCTCTTACTTTGACAATTTCCTAATTAGTTTTGCAAAATAGGTTGGAGAATGTGGATGATAGTCTTTTTATGCTTATATTTTTCTACAGTTATAACTAGATAATAAAAGAAATTTGGTTAACTTTAAAGGCCAAATCTTCTGCTATTCACATGTAACAGACCCTTTTCAATCTCTAGCCCAGTGGTTCACAATGCAAATGCCCATTTAAGATTTAGTCACACTTCTATGTTAATTCAATGACAACATTTTTTGTATAAAGGGGTCCAAAGGTGACAAGGAAAACTAATAAAACTCTAGGCTGTTTCTTCTTTTTCTGCTTCTTGCTTCTCATTGTTTTCAGGTGTTCCAGGGGCTGTTGTTTCATCAACACTCGGGTATTCCATTGTTGCATTGCTCGATGGAACTGTGGTCGCAGGAATGTTTTCTTCATTAGGTACCTGAACATAGTCTGCATTGGATTGTTTCTGAGCCATTTCTCTGCAGGAAGACAGGATTAGGATTATGATTTCACACATGTCGAAATCCCATGTACACGAGAGTCTCTCAAAAGGAGAGTATTTGCTGTCTAAACAGTAACCCCCTCTTTATTATGACTGTGTAAAAAGGTAACAACATCCCTGCTGCTGAGACAGAAAGAGTGACAGAATATTTGCTAATAAGACCTCTACATCACTGAATTAAGTAATGCCGTTAGAATAAAATTAATTTTATTATGTTTAAATGCTACTCCAGGAAAGTGGAAAGGGAAACTGAGCAATGGCAAACAATGTCTGAGGAGGGGTAGCAAAACATACTGCTTGGTGTGAGCTTTCTGGGAAATTCCATGCAGATGTGGTGTCCCATTGAAGTGCATAAAAATAGAGTGCAGTCAGAAAAGAATTATGGAAAGGCTGAGATCTAGAAAAATATTCTAAAATATATTGGGTATTTTAGAAAATACTGAAATCTAGAAAAATATTTTTAGTAACAAGTATTCATTCCATTTGTGTCACCAAAACAATAATAAACTCCCAATATTGAAGCACTGTCACATGCAGAAAAATATCAAGTGCTAGTAGATTAATTCAATGCAGTAAGATTTATTAGGATCTGAGCACAAAATTAAATGGTAATGCTACTCAGTTGAAAGCAGAAATGAGGTGCATGAGTGACTGGCCACTGGTCTGGGTTAGCAGAATTCCATATCAGGAAGTCATAGCCCTGTGCTACAGAAAGTAACAATTTTTTCCTGGCCTCAGCTGCATGTATTCATTTAGCATTTAACATCGTGGGGCTAAATACATTCTGTATAGCACACAAGATTATCTCTATTCTGAAGATTTGGCCATTTAAGGTAAAAATGAGCAACCAAAGCACAGAGGAAAAAACATCTCCAGAGCAGCATCAAAATGGACGTTCTGGGCTCCATTCTGTTGCCTAAACCTTGTGTTTCCTGTGATTTGAGATGCTTTGGAGTATCCCAAGTGTGTGTCCTGTAATTTCAGATAGCACTGAAATGAGTCCTCTGTGTTTAAATCCTGGTAAGTTTGCTGAGGCTACCCTTAGCTGCTGTTTCTTTTTTACTCCCTCCACCCACCGGTCACAGACCCCATTAACTTTTAAATATTAAGAGCTGGTTTTCTAACTTGCCACTTTTAGCATGTGTTGTTTAAAAACATTTACTTCACTGTTTTAGATACTGCTAAGTGGTAGCTGCCTGTTAACATAGGGAAGAGGGTAATGGCAACTTCTGTTACGAGAGCAACAGGGGAAAAGTCCCACAAAAGCAAATGTTCTCACTCTAGAAAGTTTTCTCAAAACTTGTATTATTTACCCTTCAAAAATGTTTAGAGTAATTGCATTTCACTTTAGTTCTGGATTACCTGGAGTGCTTTATAGAAATATTTGTCTTAAAATGAAGCAAACAGAAATTCTTACTGCATCTCATTATTTGGAGACTTCCTATTTTTTGCCTTCTTGGTTAAGACCCAGACGATAATGCAAATGATAGCAGCTGCCAGGATCGCTCCAATTAATGCTCCAGCAACAATAGCACTGTCTGAATCTGGAAAGAAAAAAAAAGATTACTTTACTTTTAAAAGTAGTAATATAGCAAAATCCAATGGAAATTTATTGCAAGAGCTTTTAGCAGAAAGAAGGCATTGGATTCAAAGAACTCTTTCCAGGGGGGAGGCCAAAGGAAAGTGAGAATTATGCTTATGTGATCTTTGTTGCCTCCTTTCTTGTTGGTTAGCTCCCTATCCCAACAAAGTCTCTCTTTATGTCTGGCTATGGGAAACATTAGGCTGTAACACTCACAGTAGGTAAAAGCCTTTGCTCTTCAGTCCTTGCAAACACATTCTGAAATTCAAGCTACCTTTATTTCTGCCTTTCAGCTGAGATATAAAATGTGTGCTCTGATCATTTGTGAGCCTCCAAAGCCTTTTATTTCCACTTCAGTGCAGCTTCCAGCTCTGACCTGCTATTTTCAGGTCATAGTCCACTGAATCATTGAGTGACCATTTCGTGGACATCTCTCATGGCTGGTTGTACAACATAGGCTTGGCTCTTGTTAAATATTACTGGTTCTGTGAAAAATATGCATGCAGGTGTGGTTGACCACTGCTTGAGAACACTCAGGATAAGGTATTTTTCTGTGACTGCAGTATTTTTAGCCAGTGGTTACATCTACAGTGCTTCAGTCCTTGTACTACCATGTTTCAGTGATGGTTTTAATTTCTGGGCTAAGGGGACCTCAGTGAGACTGGTGGCTGGAAGATGTTGCTCAAAACTCCATGTCTGTCCATTCTCAGTAAAGGCTCTGCGGTCAGAACCAGGTCCAGCTCCTGCTCCCTGTGGGAATTAAGCTGGAGATGTTAAAACCAGTTTTCTAGGTCAGTGTAAATTCTGGGCATGCCTGGATGAAAACTCCGGAGCTCTCCAAATCCTGTTCTGTTCTTACTTGAAAAAAAAATAATCTATGCTTCAAAGCTGTTAGAGCATTCTCCTGCAAGCTGTGCATGTCCTACATCAGAGATGTGACTACTTTCACGTGTTAAACTCACGTTTTGCTGTTAGGTCAAGCTCACAGGAGCTGTTCCCCAGGACGTTGCTGGCTACGCACCGGTAATAGCCAGTTTCAAAGGTGGTGAGATTGCCAATGTAAAGAATGCCAGTGTTTGGATCTGTGACAGACAGGGAACAGGTACAAGTTACTGTTTGTATTCTGTAGAGGCAAACAGTTCTCTGTAGTTGGTAACACTGAGAGCTACTCAGAGATTAGAAACAGGGTTTTCTGATTATTTGGTTATTTGGGGTTTTTTTATATTCTTTTAATAAAAAACATTTATCTTCCTTGAAAATTGCTCCAGTGGATTCTGCAAAGGCATAAATATTTCTCCCATTTTAACAATTTAAAGTAATGGCATAGATAAGACTTTAACATGCCACACATTTTTTTATTAAATAGGAAAAGTGTCCTTTGTTTTTGACAGCTGTTGGTCAACTTGAATAAGTAAAAATACGATTTTGTGACATTCACCATCAGAGGAGGATAAATTTTAATTAGCCTATGTGATACACAGTGTTTGAAATGTTGGTACTAGGGAATTTCAGGTCTTGTACACAGTACAAGAGTCCTTTAGTTACGCACTAAGTTGTTCAGTCACAGGCTTGAGGGTGTTCTCCTCGACTTTGTACCAGCGGTAGGTGGGATGAGGCAATCCCTCTTCACATCTGCACAGGAGGTAGATCAGATGCCCTTTTTCAGGTGTTCCTTCTACTTTGCAGAAAGGTGTTGATGGTTTGACTGTAAAATAACAATGAGGAGAAGAGACACATCATGAGTGCATAGCTGGGGCTGCAGTAATCCACCTCGAGTTCTGGTACTGTGCTGCAATTCTCAGTTAAGAACTGAACCTCATTTACAGATTTCCATCCATGATCAGAGTCTTATTTATGGATCTGACCAAAGCCTCTTCCATAAAAAAATGAGTAATATTAAATATATGTACATGGCCTAGGATACAGTTTGCATACTAACTGTTATTATGGAGGTGTTGAGACAAAGACTATCAATTACTTTCATTATAATGGGGCACTCACTATTTGTGATACACCATTCTGCCACACAGAAGCATCATTTTTTTTAGGGACATGGCATGAGCTTTTCCACAGAAAGGGAGAGGATCAAGGCTTGATTCTTCAGTATATTACAGCTGTGGAAGAAATAAATCAACTATAGTTCTGTTAAAAAATATATCTGTTTTGATTTCATTTCCTCACTTTTCGCACAAGGTAGGATTCTGTCTTCACTTACACCTATTGTTTTTCATTTCCTATCCACAGAAATGCTGCTGTTGTGGTTCTTTTGAGCACTGTCAGGGAAACTCTACCATCCATTGATGAGCTCAGCCCAATTTTGTGTGCATAAATGAACAACTTTTCTTGGTTTTTGTGTGAAAATTGCAATCTCTAACTCAACTGCTCCAAGATTTACTACTCATTTTGGGAATTTTAGATAAGAATTATCTGTGGTACTTTGATTTTTCAGAGAATGAGTTTACATATATCTTTTTCTTATTCCTGGAAAACAGGCAAGTGAGGTTGGAATTATGTTCTTTTATGACTGTGATTTGTCAGTCTGACCTTGTATGAATTCTCAAGATAATCAGTGATTAGATGAGGTTAGTACAAACTTTTATCTTATTAAGATGTAAAATATCTCTTTCCACTGCTTTTCATCCTTTCTGTCCTGCCTGTTCATGTTTGAACTACTGTTTTTTCCCATCCACAACACACTTTCTACTACTTCCATCCAACACATCCTAAGTTTCTAGAGCTCTTGGGAATTGGTGTGAGCCAGAACTCTTGGGCTGTACTACTGCCTCTCCCTAGCTTTATGCAAGTCACCATGACCAACATTAGGTAAAATTAGTGAAGTTTTGGTCTTTTGGGTGCTGCATCTAATGATTTCAGAGAGAAGTTGTTCCTCCCAGCTAAAAGGGTGTTTTATTTTAATCAAAGCTAGTATCAGTCTGTTTTCCAACGTGAAAAACTGAGTGAAGCTGGGTAAGTCCAGCTACCCTCTTACCTGCTCACATTAAGTTTTTAAGTTTTAAGTTTTTGAGAGCACAAAGTGAATCCGAAGGCCACTGGTGGGAGAGTGAGATTTGGCTGCAGGTCAGGCAAGGGTAGCTGTGGAGTGGCAGCAGGTCCTCTCTGGCTGGAAGCTAGAGGGCACCCAGGCTCTGCCTGCCTCCAGAGCCCTGGGAAGCATCTGCGCCAGTGCATCTGGGAGCCTTTTCTCTGCATCACGGGCCTTGTTTACCACAGTTCTGTTCTGTTATTCCCTCTGGCCCTACGTGTTCTGAGCAGTGTTTCATAACATGGGAAGAAAACGAACGACACAGCAGCAGAGAGGGAAGGCACTTACCCAGCACATTGACAATCACAGATTTTTGACTCTGTCCAGCATCGCCCTGAGGGCTGAAAACTTCACAGGTGTAGGAACCAGTGTCTGAGGGCTGCATGTTGGAGATTGTTATTGATGCATTCCCTGGACCTGTTGCAGCTGTTATCCTGTTCTTAAATGCTCCATAGGAGTAAGACTGGCCTCCTGAATAATAATAGATCTGTGATAAAGAATCAATTGTTAGTTTAATGACAAGAGATCTTCTTGCTGCTTGCTTTGGTACTCATAAGATTGTTGATTTCTGATGAAGCCAAGCAGTGTCACCCCGTCTTGCCCCTTTTCCCAAGAAAGCAGAAATAAAAACATTATACATTTGAATGTATATTTGTAATGGTTCTTAAAAGACAAGCTTTTCAGAATTGGCATTTTTAATTTTGTAATTGACAGTAATGAGATCGAAGCACAGACTGATGCATTTGCAAAACAAAGGTGAGACCACTGACCATCATATGAAAATTCTATGAAAAAATGCTAAGTCCTGGACAGTGAATAGTGGTATCAATTGAAGTACTGATAATTTGTGATATTATTAATAAGTGGCTCAACAGAAGGTTATGGCAAGGATGGGCCTGTCATTGCAAAAACTGGGTGACAGTTCCCCAGCGTCTACATGCACAAACTAGGCAAAGTGAACAGTTCCAGCACACTCAGTCATTTCTTTAAGATGGTGAGAGGTAACCATATAGAATTACAGGTTGTGACCCAAATGGATATACCATTGTTCCTCCTGACATTTCAGAATCAGCAGTGTAAATGTATTTATTGAACTAACAGCATGTTTTTTAATTGAAATAGTGGGAAAATGCTTGTAGGAAAAAGCTTCACAAACTCCTCTGAAATGCCATTCACACCTGACTAGTGTCAAAATTTTCTTTTGGCCAAAGTTCTCTGCCTTCTGGGGACACTGCAGATCCCTGGGCAACAAGTATAATTTGCTTTACTTTGCAGATCAACTGATTGCATTTTGAATTAAGAATATTTATTCTTAATTCTATTTATCCACCCTGATATGGTGTTGACTGAAGTCTTTAAGCAATGTTATCTGAAAGCCTTTATTAGCTTAAGGCAAGGTACACCCCAAAACTGTCAGAGCACAGCTGGTTTATGCAATGATACAGCTTTGAAATGAAGGTCAGAACCCAGGCTGCATAGCACCAGCAGCTCCAGGACTGCAGCCTGGCCCCATCTCAAGTGCAGTTTTGCACACTCCTCAGCCAGACTTTATCTTTCCCTGCCCCAGGATTACAAACACCAGGTACAGTTGATGCAGGGCTCTGAACACCAAAGCATTCCCCAGGTGTGGAACCCTGGTGTTGCAGTGAGGAAGCATAAGAGGTCCAGGGTTAGCACAGTGACAGACTCGGTTACAAAGTCTGCTGAACAGCTGGAGAGACCCCCTAGTTTCCATTATGTCATGTGATACCATCAGTTTTCAAATTGATTTTATGCTTTGCAAATGTTTAGAGATGTATCTCTATTGCAGAACTAATGTCTGGATGCACACTCAGTGTATTCCCCAGGGAAGGAGAATATTCAAATAGGGAGTTTGGTTTAAACAAATTGCTCATCAAAAACCTGGTCTGCCTGGAATTACAAAAACACACTGGCCACACTGGTCTCATTCTACGTTTATCTGAGTATGAGCAACTGTATTAAGTTACAAGAACTGTGACTTCTGACTTCAGACTCCTCTTAAGCTGATGTCCCTAGATAGCTCTCAACAGTGATGGGCTGGATTTCCATCTCCATTCCATGAAGCTTCCATCAGCTCTTTACACTAATGTGAAATTAGGTTCTACAATGATCTAAATGAAGTAACCTGTGTCTTACCACAGCATGAGAGGAGTGACAGGCCCTTCATACCCTACTAAAAGGCCTGATTGCTGGAAAAAGGGGCTAAATTCTACTCAGTCTAACTCAGAGTGATGTGGGATTTATGTGAGAGTAGCGGGAGGTGCCCACTGAGAATTAGCTTAGCTACAGCACATGTCCTGGGAAATAGGACTGTCATTGAGTCTGAAATGCAGTCAGGGCATGCCAATAAACACAATAGAGGAGCAAGTGCTCCTTGGTATATTTGACCTGAAGTCAGGGTGAACAACGTGTTTAAGTCCTCATACAATGCACTGAGAAATGAATTCCCCGTGTTCTCTCCTTCTGATTGAATGAATGCAGGGAAAATATTTTGTGTACACTGCTAAATCTGAGGCAGGTGTCAACACAGCAGAGACTATTTTTTTTCTTCCTGGATTTAAACAGAGTCTTTCTGGGTTGTTGGTTTTTTTTTTGTTTCAAGTATGAACATAAAGGCAATGGAACATCCTCAGGTAATGCATTCAGTTCCTCTGCAGGCTCCTGCCTGTTCTCTGTTCTGCTCCTGTTCGATGCTTATCTTGCTGGCTCTGGAGTTCATTGCCTGAAGGAAGGTGGTAAACACCAAAAAGGCTGAGTAATGTTGTGATTAATTACTGAGTGTATATCTTGTCCCAGAGGTATGATTGAATTGTGTACACAGGAAATTTGATTTAAGAGGAACATGTTTTAGTTAATTGGCTGTGAATTCACAGCCCATTTTAAACAATACACTCAAAATGGCTATTTTAAACCCTTGTTCAAAGTGGGTTTATGCTGTCCTTGAAAATCTTGTTCCTGGCTCTCAAAAAACTGAAATTAAAATCTTTGCAAAAATGTTTCTGTTCCAATTCAAGAGTAAAAAAACTTGTTTTCTGTTGAAGATATGGAAGACTATTTTTGGGCAACTGACAGTTAATGTTTCCTCCTACAAACACACATCTCATTGACATTTCTTTCCATTTTACCTAAAATGTCTGTATGGAAAAACTGTATTTAGTCAATGGTAGACTTCTTCTGGAAGCCTTTTAATCTGATGTGATAAATATATTTTAAGTGCACCGTCTTGAATGCAAAAAAATACGAAAGAAATCTGTGCTTCTCTTGAAAAAATACACTTTTCATGTCCTGAAGCAAATCATGAGTAGCTCTAGTGGAGTCGATGATTTACCAGAGTATAAACAATTTCGAGGGTGCAGTAATGATTGCTGCTTCTCCTTACCAGCTAGTTTGCTCAGGCATGTTTTTATATTAACGGTGCCTTTTCACATTTCATGGCAGCAGCTGCCTGGGATGACTAATCAAACAACTGACTGCAAAGAAGAGCTGAGATTATCACTCCTAAAACTGCTGTCCTTAATAACTTCACAATCTGAGACACCAGTTTCTGCAAAGCAGCCAAGTTGCCCAGAAAACATCTCCCTGACCTTAGAAAGGGTTGCAGTTCAGATGGTTATTCATCCTGTGGGCCAGGTGGTGCCTGGAGCTGCTCTCAGCAGCCATCCATCCTTGTGGGCTTTCTAAGGCAGTGGTGCAGTTACTCTGCATTTCCACAGCCAGTTTCTGCTGCAGCCAAGAAAAGGATTTTGCCCCATAGGCTTCCATAAGTCCATTATTCGTGTACCTGTTTGGAGCAGCTGGGTTACAAACAGACCAGGGAATTGGGAATGATCATACTCATTTGGAAGAAAATCTTGATAATCTCAATGCACTCCAGATGCTGGAGACAATATTATCTGTGTCCCAAATTCTGGGGGATCTGGTACATGAAATCACATGTGCTTTTCTTCTCCTTTAGCCTGACTTGTGGAAAGGATGCTCCTCTTCTAGAGGGATGATGAGGAAAGTTTTTGCCTTCAGAGGAAGCAGTTGGCAAAGCTGATGCTGAGTTGAAGATTTTCATAAGCTGCCAGATGTTTGGCAGCGTGTAAGGAACCCAACTGCAGGTTTTCTTTATACAAATTCTATAGAAATATCTTCCTTAGGGTGTGGAGGGGGCGTGTGAGAAAGCAGTCAGTAAATTAGGAGAAACATGCTCCCATCTGCTTCCTTTCTTCTCAGGACAGGACAAATATATACTAGGATTTGCATAAATATGTGTCATTCAAATCTCTTTGGATGGACTCATTCATAACTTCCAGGTCAATACTCCTCCCAACCCCCATCTCCTGGAGTCACAGCATCACATTGCTGTACATGCCCCGTGCATATGGATATCAGAGCTATAAGATGAGATGTACTTGAAGATGTGTTAGAAAATGTCCACTGAATCTCCACAGAACTTTTGACTTCCTGACTGGGGGGCAGTTTCAGGACATGACTTCCTTTCCAATTCCCTCCCCCAGCCCCTTTCCCCACCAGCACATGCAAAGCTGTAGCATCCTGTTCCATGACGTTTCTCAAGGCTGATGGATTCAGTGTGTGACTCACAGTCTTTGCCTGGAGAGCTGGAAAGCTCAGGCCCCATCATTGGGTTGGTTTGTCATTTTCTGTTTGACATTTTCTCAAGCTACCAGAAAAAGAACTGTTAAAGTCTCTTTCTCACTGATAAAAGCAGAGGAAGACTGGTTTGAGATCGTGATCTCATTCTGAATTCTGAGGACAGACAGAATTTATAAAATAACAACAAGGTAAAAAATTTTCATCACTCCCCTAAGCATCTTACCATCTAATTAGAGAACAAATGCCACACACTGAGAGTGTTAATGAAGGCCCGAGGCTCAGATTCTGAACTCAAGTAGATAAGAAAGGAAATGCTTACACGTGCATTGGTTTCTTTGACAGTGTGTCACATGATTTGGTCTGGGCCCAAATGCCTCACATTCATCCACAGCTTCTTTTCACACATTTTTGCCAAAACTCTGATCTGCTAGAAGGTAGTAGGGATATTATATCCTGCATTACTGGGGTTTTTGCATGGGTAATCAAGGGTGTTAACAGCGACTAGAAGTGTCTTGTTGCAATAGCGCATTAGTAGAAGAGAAAAGGGAAGGAGTCAGAAGCCTTTAGAGGATTAATCATTCAGCAGCTTTAACTGGTGCAGAATACTTTTGAGGAGCAGCTCTTTGATGTTCTCATAGTATCGTTCTTGGGGCTGAGCTATTAGTAAATAATTCCTACAGTGCATCAAGCACAAACATGTTTTCTCAGTGCCTTTGGTGTAACTGCTCTTCAGCAGTTATTATTAGAGCTCAGTTTACATTGGGCTGTGCCCTGTACTTCATGGTGAGACAGGAATCCCACTGCAGTCAAAGAGACTTTGGAATGGATTACAGCTGGAACGCTGAGCTGACAGCTGAGAGGAAGCCA